CCCCCCCAAGGCACAGTGTCCTTACCCACATAAACTAAGCGTATTCAGAAATTTCAAGTTTACTCAGCACTAAAGTTGTGTTGCAGGACCATGCTTGGAGCTACTGATGTGTGACAATTCAGGCGAAGTTGAATGAGGCTTTGAGCAACCTGATCTAGTGGAAGGTGACCCTGCCCATAGCAGGGGGCTTAAAACTAGATGATCTTTAATGTCCCTTTCAACCCAAACCATTCTGTCTGCTTAGTAAGGGATGACTGGGGAAAGGGGATCAGGATCCAGAACAGCCTTAGGTAGGACACAGAATGATTAATTAACATACCTTCTGTTTTTTAGAACCTCATGGCAAACTGCAGACTGGAGCCCCAGGGAATGGCGATAAGGGCGTGCTGGGAAGGCGTTTAATAGACATAGAGGCCATCTGCCCCATCCTTTTATAATACTCTCAGCATCCCTCTTGAGTTCAAGTGACCCTAAATGACTTTGCTAAATTGAGATAGCTACCATAATGATGTGCTTGCCTCCCTGCCTCCTCAACGTAGCCACTTCAGAAACCCTAGTTTCCTTTTGCGCCGTTTTTAGGGGATTTGTCTTGTTCTGAGACCTGGGGTTGTGCTCTATAAAGAGGTTTCCGATTTATGCTCCCCTGGAATTAGGGATGTGATAGTCATGCAGGAGAGCAATGAAAAAACCCGAGAGAGGATGTGCCGGTGTGTCAGAGGCAGCCGTTCCAAGTCATCCACAGACTAATATGGAAAATATAGACCTATTTTGAGAAGAAGGAAAAAGAAGTACATGATAGGTTTTAGATGAGAAATAATTTGGGAGTGATATTGAAAATGATATCACTCCTGCTGCACTTCAGTCCTGCCAAGTGCATTCTATAATTAATAACTCCTTCAGAGGAAGTGACTTTCTTTTGAATGTGCAGTATTAAACATTTAAATCCTTATCTGTAAATATAAGACTGTGGCAGATATCTCCATAAGCCTTGCAGCTACATGCTAATGCATATTTATATTCTAGATTGGTATTTTTAGCAAGAACTACAAGTTCTTTCTGTATTTGATTACATCAGAGCTCTGTTTCACATTAAATGTCTGGACTGCAAAAATATCCCTTGCTTTTTCCTTCCCTTGGAGTTGTGCAATAATTTCTGTCCTTGTCTTTTCTCTTCTTCTTCTGTGCCCACCCAGATTAAAGCACCTTCCAAAGGGGCTCTATATTACCTTTCTCCCAAAGAAGACAAAAAATATAAAATTAAAAGAACAGAAATAGCAAAACATCTCGTGGTGTTTCCCACCTTGCAGCAAGTCAGGGCATAACTATCAGGATAACTACCACTCCTTGTGGCTACATATGATGGGATCAGTGTCCTGCTTTGGAAAGTAACTGCAAATGATCCCTTCCTGAAACTCCAGCCCTCTGAGTATTAATCCTGCTGTTTGTGTAGCTTCTCTCTCCTACAGAAGCAGCGATGCCTTTGCAGGAATCCTACCCAAGTCAAAGCAGCATGATTGAACCTGGGTTGTGATCCAGCCCAAGGCAAAGCTGGCTGTGCACTGTGTTTCCAGAGGTGGAATTATCCTCTGAAATACTCCACCTTTAAGACTTGTGGAGCCCACGAGGAAAGGCCATGCAAGGCAGATGCATTGCCCTGACGGTTGGCTGGAGGTGGGACTCAACGGTGTATGCCAGTTTGAATATCCTCACTAATGTGGGTCTGCAAACACAATCCTGAGAATTTAGGTTCTGTTGTGCTTTACTTTTTAATTTCTAGATGGAGGAAAGCATTTGCAGATGCAGGTCAGGGCTGCCCATCTGCAGGGCTGTCCCACATTTGTAGGAGGACTGGAAGGTAATGAAAAAGTCGACTTAACCAGTTAAAGCATAAGGCACTGAGGAGTGCCCTCAAGTCTGGAGATAAAGTCTCTGGACATGCACAGAATAACTACTGTGAAGAACAGGCCCCCAGAGGTGCGGGTAAAATCCTTCAGCACCTCAACAGCAGCACTGGATGCTGTCTGCTGTGAAGCCTCTTCTTGCAGGGCCAAGAGGCTTCAAGTCTTTTTATGGCCCTTTGCAGATACATCTTTCTCTGTTCTTTTTTATTCAGCCTATATTTAAACTTCTCTCTCTGTACGTCCACTTGACCCTGTGACGTAAACGTCTGGCAACTCCTTTGAATCCCCTGGCAGTGTCCTGCATTTGCTGGGGCAGTAGTGCTTGCTGGGTTTAACCCTCAGGGACCAAACAGTGAGAATAAGTAAAAGCAATAACCAAAAGAGCAGCAAATCAAACTTTGCAAGGGCTCCCTGTGACATGCTCAGCCTCTGGCCTGTGGATAATACTGTGTGAACAGATGAATATTAATGCAAAAGGACATTTTGTACCCCTGACACTCTGTGTGAAGGGCTTTTCACCTCGTCAAATCTAGGAACATATTACAAGTGCTTTGAAGCTAAATTCTGCCTTTGACTCTATTTCAGCTACAGTAGAAGCTGGCTGAGATGGAGACACATTAACAGGCGAGTCCCAGATTACAGGAGACCTGCAGGGCGATGTGAGGCAGGGTGCTCACAGCCAGCATTGGTGACATGAGGAGGGCAGTGGTCCCCACCCACAGCACAGAACGGACCCCGCATGGGTGCTCCCAGCCATCTGCTTTCCTTACTGTGCTGAGCTCAGCTGCTTTCACTTTGCCATAAGAGAAACTGCACTATGAAAACCCTCAGTCCCCCATGTGCGTGTCCCAGATGAACCTCCTCTAGCCATGGGGCGGTCCTTTACCCTTTTTCCCCCTCCACTTTCAGCTGGCATAACCTTAAATCCAGCTCTTCCAATAAGTATTGTTGTATTGCCTTGATCATCCTTTTCTGTAGCTTTTTTCTCTGTCACAGGGCAGTTTGGCAGCATAACCAGCCAGAGGCATGCCCGCTCTGCAGCCTGTACCACTCCATGTTCCCTCCCTGGGTGAAGGCTGAGCACACAAGAAAGATGCTGCAGGCTGAAAACTGGAGGATCCAACTTTATTTGCTAGATACTCACCCAGAAGGTAACCCTCCCCCTCCCAGTCCTTCTGTAACCAGACCCAGCCCCGTCTGCAATGTGCAACAGCTGGAGGAAAGTTCAGCCCACATCTAGCACAGCACAGGACCCTGCAGCCAGCGTGGAAAGGCTGCTGGAGTCAGTGAATTTGTTCAGAGCTTGAACGCAGAATAGAAAAGGCGATATCACCTAAGGATGGTTTGTTTCTGGCCTGGCACATCAGACTGGTTTTGAAGCAGAGGAACAGAGAACAGAGGAGCAGGAAGCAGAAGGTGATGCTCTGTGTCTGCAAGGGTGGGTGTAATATCAGCATTTGAGTAATTCCCTATCATTATCCTCTCAGTGGCATTTAACCCCGCTATAGACCTCAGCACTGCAAGGGTGTTTCAGGGAAGCTGTCACTGTTTTAGCGAAGCACTGAGCACTTCATCTCAAGAACAAAGGAACTCATCATCCTTCTAAGCCCCAGGCTTGCATGGGGGCCCTCTGCCAAGGAATGCAATGCCTAGCCAAAGTTTTCTTGTGAATCCTACTGAGACAGACCTTGAGAAACAATAATGTCTCTGCAGTGAAGAAAAAGAGCCTGCCTTTGGTTTTCTGGCTGGTGTCTCATGGAAATAGAATGGAAAACGGAGGGGGGAAGAAAAAAAAAAGTAGGCTTTGCCAAAGAGGAGGTTTCGGGGATGACATGAACATATATAAGGATGGTGCACGGGATGTGCCCATGTTTCACTCCAGCCTTGCTCTTGCAGATTGCCTCCCGCTCCGCTGGACAAGCTCTGGCAGTAGGAACTGAGAAAATGGCTCCTAGGGGGCTTCGAGTTGGGCCTGCCTGGTTCTTTTGTGTCCACTTCCACTTCCAATTCCACTCTGTCAGGTTTTACAGCAGACAGGGCATCAAAATCGATCTTACAGCTGCTCCAAGGGAGAATGGAGCAAATCCCCAGTTAGGACCCAATAGTGCTGTTAACTGGTGTGAGTGGAGCTGTTGGCTTTTCCCAGAGTCAAGGGTCTGGGTTAGTCGTTACTTTTCTTTTGGTCCTTGGTGTGAAGGGGTGGGGGAGAGCAGAGCAGCAGCAGAAGTTGCTTGAAACAGTCTGTAAAATATCTGGGAAGGGAAATCCAGGAGCTCTGGTTGCAATCCAAGCTCAGGCACAGAGCTGCTGAGGTTTTTGGCCGCCAAACTGCTGAATTTTCTTTTGCAGGTCTAACTTGCCCTGGTTTGTTAATGCAGGACATGTTTTCAGCTTCCCAGAAGCTCATAAATCCCATCTTAACACATGGAGGCTGAGCCCTCCCAAACTCATTCCATAGCTTATTCTAGACAGAATTAAACACCAGCTCTCTGCAATGGCAAGCCCTGCTCTGCTGAGGAGATGGTAAGAAGGAACCAACATCCATCTGTTACTCTGACTCAGGAGATGGCACCAAAAGTGGAAAGAAAATGAGCTAAATCCCTGATGGAGGGTTGTAAGAATTTCTGGGGGTAGTGTAACTGGGTTTAATAGAGGCATAGAGGCACAGGTTGTGTGGGAGCTTGGGGAGACCTGGGAAGAAAGCACTGCCTGTGTCCAGTGTGCTTGCAGCTCTTGCTTTTGCGGCTGGTGACCCCAGAACACCAGCCCTGATGGCACTGCCCAGGCCATCCTGCTGTGCAGAGCTGCAGCCCTTCATCCACTACTGCTCCCTACAGTGGAAAGCTGTAGGTAGAGATGTGGGTCCTGAGGACCAGAAGCATCTGAAGGTGGGAAACATCTGCTTAACAGCTGGAAACTGCAAAGTTAAGGATTTTAGGTCCAGGTGCCCAAACCCTCAGCTTGAATTCACAGCATTGAAGATGGATGAAGCCACACGGCAGTGAAGAAAGTTATTCCCAAGGCATCTAAGAGTTCATGAGGCATCTTGGCAGAGAGAAGTGTGGGAGTGTTTTGGCTGGAGTGTGAGTACTTGTGACGTTACAGAGCACACTGGAAGAGTGTGCCAACAACCATGGCCATCAGACCCAGCATTGCAGAGCTGCTTCCCACCCCGTTGCTACTCCTGGTGTCAGCGGTGCAGAGGTCAGTGTTGCAGCATGACTTGGGTTTGTTCGCCCCTATCCCGTCAAAGGCGAGGCACTCCACCTCACAGTCTCTGGTCACGGTGATGTTGCCGAAAAAGGGGTAACCTGAAACAGGCAGATTGAAGAGAGGAAGAAGAAGAAGAGAGAGAAAAATATGATAAAGGAAGGTGTAGACAGTTGGCATTGAAAAACACTGACTTTGTGCAATGGAGGGGAATTAAAAGTACGATGTTCATAGGTAAATAAAGGCACAGAAGGTGTTGAGCATCTCTAGTCTGTGAGTGTCTCTAATCCAGACTGCTTTTTGTAGAAAGAAGTCCACCACTTCTCCCTGCTGATTCCCTCTCTCCCTCTTGTTCCAAATTTCTTCTAGTGTGAGCAAGAAGACACAAATCCTTGTCTGTTTTGTTCAGGTGAGTTTCTTCTGCAACGGCTTTACAATGAAGTAGCAGTGCCAAGAAGCACTGATGTAATGCTAGTGTGGTCACTGGTGAGATGGTGTTAGGTGACAGTGTCTACAAACAACAAAGCCACTGTATTTCCTTAGTAAGTTTTCATACATCTATAGGTCCAGAATCCACAAGAGCATAGGAGTAGGAAAGACAAAACAAAGGAAGCAGAGTGGGCTCTGTGTACTTGACTATGAGACACTGAATCTGATGGATTTCTCTCCTTACCACTCTAAAGTTAGATAAATCCACCTGGATTTTTACAAGGAAGTTAAAGGATAACCCAAGATGTATCCGGACAAGGGAAGTGTGGCCAGCAGGTCAAGGGAATTGATTCTTCCCCTCTACTCTGGTCTGCTGAGACCCTGCTTACAGTGCTGTGCCCAGCTCTAGGTTCCTCAGTAGGAGGAAGTCATGGCCCTGTTGGAACATATCCAGAGGAGGGCCATGAAGATGATCAGGGGCTGGAGCACCTCTCTTGTGAGAGAGTTGAGGTTGTTTAGCCTGGTGAAGAGAAGGCTCTGGGGATACCTTTTAATGGCCTTCCAGCACTCCAGGGTGAGGTACAGGAAAGATGCAACTGGATTTTTCATCAGAGAGTGTAATGATAGGACAAGAGGTAATGGTTTTAAACTGAAAGAGGGTAGATTTGGATTACATATTAGGAAGAAATTCTCTACTCTGAGGGTGGTGAGACACTGGATCTGTTGCCCAGAGAATTTGTGGAATCAAGGCCAGGTTGGACAGGACTTTGAGCAACATGATCTAGTGGAAGGTGTCCTTGCCCATGGCTGGGGGGTGGAACGAGATGCTCATGAAGGTTCCTTCTAACCCAAACCTTTCTGTGATTCTATGACTCTGTGACCTCTCCCTGTGAGTAGTCACAGCAAGTGATGAAACTCACCTGAGTCTACGGAGTGCAGCGTTGTGGTGCACACGGTGGCATTTAGGGGGCACAGGGTGACTGTTCTGCACTTAGCAATGTCCGTTGGTTCCTTGCACGTGTAGCATCGTAAGGATTGGGCTGCAGAGGGGGGAACAAGATGAGTCTGAGGTGGTTGCAGCAGCGAAGACAGACTGCAAGTCTGCAGCTTCTCTGCCTTGTGGTGGGGGCTATGTGATGGTCAGTGCTTCATCCCACCTGAACGAGACACAGAGGTCTCAGGAACAAAACATATCTGGAGGCAATGGTAAAACTTGGATATGCCAGGGGAGAAAGACCAAAGCCCAGCACCAAACAGCAAGGTAATGTTGTGGAAATCGAGCACTGCCTTGTGGGCTCAGAAGCCCCGAAAGAGCAGAGATCTAGAGAGATATGTTGCTTGAGCAGCTTCAATAGAATCTTTGCATCCCCTGTAAGAAGTGCTGTAACACAGAGCAAAATAGCTCCTGTTGAGCCGTCGCTTTCACCAGCACTGAAAGACTGGCACCTCCCCCGTCCCTCCACCCACAGTCACAACTCCTTTGTGCTTGTTTAGAGGGATTTTTGCAGAACTTAGTAACTCGAGGGCAGAATTTAAATCTCAGAGCTGTGTCAAAGATCCTAAGGGCTGAATGTAGCCTGAAAAACACTTTCATCAGGGGCTACTGCTGCTTTTAAAGAAAGATGATGCTACAAAACTCTTGCTGGCTGCCTGTTGATGGAGGAACACCTTTACATATGCAAGTATTGATCACAGCAGATGCTCAAAAGTCTCCGTATGAGACCTGTCTGTCCACAGCCGGCAAACAGCGAGTATGCGTATTTTTCGGAGTCGTGCTGGTGTGTCTTGACGGAAACCAGCCTGGTTTGATACTATCCTACCTATCTTCTACCACCACAGCAGCTGAGGAACTACCCACATGTGCTCACTGCCATCTATTGGTAAAACTGCAGAAAGACGGTGTTTTCTTGTTCTGGCATCCACTGTTAGAAACCTCTGCGACTTGTTGATAAGGTTAAACAGTTTTGAAGGCAGTTGTTTGAACACCTGACTCTAGAAAGAATTTTCAAGGCATCACTTTCTCTTATCATCCCCTTTGGAAGTTTCAGCTGTGCAGCAGAGCCTACGTGACGCAACAACTTTCTTTTTCTTCTTTGCAGAGGTAGAAGGGACTTTTAATTTGAGCAGTAGTGGTGTTTTTGTGGCTGTATCCTTTTCAAACAGATGTAGTGGAGATATCCCTGTTTGCCCAAGCTGAGGAGCTCAGTAGATCCCTTCCAGATGACCCATGAGAGGTCATTTTATATTTTAACATGTAATGCCTGCTGAGAGAGAAAGTACAACATGGTCAACCTGACAAGCCTGGATGTTTGTGAGTGTATAGGACCGGATAATGTACAGATGGAGAAGTCCTTAGATGCTTATAGCATCTGAAAAACTGATCTACAACCTTTGAGTTGAGCTGGTTTCCAAACTTCACCATGGGAGCAACACAGTCCCATGGACTCTGGGGGAGTTACTTCAAGTTAAGAGTAGGTTTAAAGAAGAAAATCCTCAGCCCTCTTATCTTTCACTGACTCTGGGTGGGACACTCAGAGAACATTGGTTTCATAGGAAGGTTGCAAGTGAAGAGGAAAATCCAAAACCATAAGGTCCAGAATAGGAAAGCTGAACATAGAGAACAGTGTCTTGATCTGAGGTCAATAATTCACTGTTCATCACTGTCCAATAGTGGGTTCTACCCCTTGATACCAAGCTTCTGGAAGATGAATGATCACAGACATATTCCTCAGCTGCAAAAGCTGTGCCTAGACCAGCTGCTTCACATTGGATCATCCCAGAAAATCTTTTCTCTCAACTGTAAATCAAAGGGTGGTGATTCTTCTCTGTTTCCATAAAGTGCTTCGAGACCTGTGAGTGGGAACCTGTTCTGTCAGGTCCTGAGCAACCTGGTTAAGTCCAGGACAGGATGAGGTCCAGAAGGAGGAGAAAAAAACCCACATAATACGCCACCTGCAAAATATCTTGAAAAAAGAAAAAAAAAACCAAACCCACCCAGCAGGTATTGAAATGTAAAAAATTGCCGTAGCTGTGTAGAAGTAACTGCACCTGTCCTGGTTCAGCCCTGTGGTGGGTTCGACCCAGAGCATGTCCTTCAGTCAGCAATTTGCTTTGCTTTAGAGACAGGGAGAAGGAATAATCAGGGTATGGGTTTTAAACAAAGCAATGCAGCCTGAAGAAGAGACCCAAAACGCTTCCATTCACAAAGACTTCCACTTGCGACCCTCTGGATGATCTCTGTGTAGCCATGCCTCCAGCTGGAGATGTTGAACTCCTGCCCAGGCTACTTTTTCTCTGAGATCTTTCAGAGTCCCATGAAAGCAGCCTGAGAATCTCTGGGGCCATGGGCTGTAAGTTAAAATCCACCAGGTTGGTGTCACCCCAGCGATGATTCTGTTCCAGGCCAAGGATTTATTTGCAGTGAGTCGCAAATAGATGGAGTAAGAACACAGAAATGAGCAGACCCTGCTACCAGCTTGCCCAGGACTCAGATCCATTAGAGAATAAACCTAAACCAACCCAGCAGAGTCACCTATCTCCACCCATCTCTGGAAATTAATGAAAACCCTGAAGCTTGTTCTTTGATGAACACTTCCATAATCCTCGCAGTTATTTCTCATATCCTCACTCATATTTATACTGAAGCATCACCCTCTGTTTTTCAGAGCTTCCAGCAGCCAGCCAGAAGGCTTTCAGGATGGCAGGAGCTCAGCATGAACATACCCCATCCCATCCCTGAGGGGCCAACTTGGCAGCTTAAGAGCTTGTTCTGTCCATGTGGCTGTCATTCACACCTTAGTCTTATAAAGCAGTGTGTCACTCCCCTCCACCGCAGGGCACAATGCGAGCAAGGCCGGGTGACAGGCGACCACCTAGACATCCCAACCATGTGTGTTGCTCTCAGACAGTCATCATGTCTCTCCCCACCAGGAATGCATATCCCTTTTCTCCATTCATCTTTTCCATTGACCTTTAAATACATAAAGGTCTTATTTACCTTACCTGGGGATCACCAGGTCTTTCTGCATTGGTGGCTTTCCCTTCCCCTCCCAGGCATTTCCCAGGGGTCCCTAAAGTGTCAGGAATGCAGCGATCTTACCCAATTCCATGTATGCCAGGCCAAGCAGGAGCCCAACTAGAAGTGTCTTCATGCTGAGGGCAGATCCGTGCAGCCAGAACTCTAAGGGAGAGCTGCTCCCGGGGAGTTTTATATGGTTTCCCACCCTCCACCTCCTTTTGATCCTGTGGGTGGATTCCCTTGGGGTGACCAAGGGAGAGCTCAGCTCCAGTCTGGATTGGGATTTGTAGAGGAACAAGTTCCCCGAGGAGGTGACATCACCGCAACAAACAGATTCCGACCATACGTCACCTCTTCTTCAGGTTTATGTCCTGGGGCTGGTCCCATGGAAAAGGAAAAAACACGGCTTGCACTGCAAGGGGTGGCCCCACATCGGTGCTTGGATGGGGAATGTGACAAGGTATGTTTGTTCCTTCAAGTCTGGCTCTGCAAGCCGAGAGCTGGGTTGTGTCATACATGTTGCATTGAGCAACAACGGATGAGAGGCAAGCGGCAGCAAGCTGGGCTTCCACACGCATTGGCTCAGCCTCACCAAAGCCTGTGCCATGTTTTCATGCCCACTGCTCTCCGGGGCTGGTAGACTGGAAGCTGGTGTGGCTGGATTTGCCCAAAGCATGTCTATTTTCCCAAATCCTGTGCAAAAAGACAGTTTCTTGCTTCCAGGGTCTTAGTTATTGAATGACTTCTGGTACTGAGCTATTGAGTATGGGAGTCACTGTGAAAGGCCAGCTGAGATGAGCATGGGAGATGATGTTTCCATGTCTGAGTTTTGGGTATATCACTTTATTTCAGGTGCCAGGTCATGCTGGCAAAGCAGGAAAAAAATCCAACATGGAGAAAAGGATCAATTTTCCCGCTGCAGTACCTTCCTGACAGAAAAATGTCACTTTATTGAAGACAACCTTTAAAAAAACCCCTAAAAATTTGAAGGGGCTGTCTTATACAATGTTTATGGAAACAGCTTAAAAACTTGCAGTTAGGGAGAAATTCTTTGCTCCTGCCTTTTGACTGAGCTAATGACATTTCATTTGATATAGTTTTTATTTGGTTTGTTGTGATCCAGGGAAGAAAAAAACCAGCATTATGCAATTTCCTGTAAACCATCTGAATAAGCCAAGGAAGAAAAGTTTGTGAATCACTATGAAACACTCGGAGACTTCAGGGATGGAGATAAGGTGAGCACACCAGCTGATTAAATGACTGGAGGGTTTGCTTGTCACAGGGTTGTTGTGGCAATGCATGTGGGCATTGCTACCATTCCCAGCAGCCTGTCCTTATTCCCAGTTTGAGAGTGGGGCTTCTTGGGAAAGTGCTGCTCTCTAAAAGTTTCTCAGTAACTTGAGAAGCATTGCTAATGAAAATTTCCACCGTTACGGATGACACAAAGCCGGCTGAGCTGGAGCAGTGGGAACAGAGCTGTGCCGTGGGAAAGGGAGGAAAGGATGTGCACCCTCATGCAACTTAACTGTGAGAGTGAAAACAGTAATTTATCTTTATTTTATCTTGCTGTGCTGTCAAAGACCAGGTACATGAAGAAAAACAGTGCAAACATACCTGCCTGGGTATATAAGAAAGACTCCGATCTGTGAAAGCCACCAGACCTGGTTACAGCCAGATCTTTCCTTGGAACTGAGCAGTTCAAGGCACATTCGAGCCATATCTTATCAACAACCACGAAACTGGAAAAGACCCAGTGCTTTAGGCATTCAAGATGGTTATGCCTCAATAGGTAAGCATGGTGAGGTTGCCACTGCAGCGTTCACAACTGTAAAATGCTGCTTGGCTGGTTGTGGGTAGCTTGCTGAAATGGAAATGTTCACGTAAACACGTTGTGATGGTCTGCCCGTACTTGGAAGGCATTGCATACTGAGAAATCCTTGGAATAAATCACCGTGGCTGAAGGAAGAATGGTATGAATAGGAAACTAAGTGAGTCTGTTGAGCTCAGTTGAGGCTGTCCATCATCACTGTGGTATCTGCACATGGGGTACATCGGCACAGTGGGATCGTTTGCCTCTGGCCAGTGCGAAGCCACTTAATTCTGTTTAATGGCTTGAAAAAAGAATTTAAGATCTGCCTATAAGGCAGAACATCAGGAAACTATCAGAGCTGGAGTGGTTAAAGCTTCTGCAGCCCCTGGCTGAATGTGCAGGAGTGTCAGACTGAAGGGGAGAAACGTTGGGAGAGTGTCAGTAAAATTGCGGAGGAAATGGAAGACGTAAAGGTATTAGTTGATCTAAAGGTAACTAGGAACTTCCAGTGAGATGGAGCCAGAAAAGAAAACCAAAACCAAACACACACACCCCTAGGTGATGTCATTTTGTGTGTTGAGGTGTAAGGGAGGCTGTTATCAGGGTGATGATGGAAGTGCTAGCACCCTGACATGAAACCCTAATGGCTTCTCACCCAGAATTTCGTTGCCCCTGTCAAGAAAAAATGGGATCTTGAAAAAAACCAACAAAACGGAGACTAATGGGAAGTCTGTGAGAACAGAATCCACCCCGAAAGATGACACTGGAAAACATCGTTTCCTTTCAGTGTGGCAGAGGAAAAGTTAAGTGGAGATACGATTTTTCTTTTGTCAGAAATAGTTAGCAAGCATCAGAAACAGAGCTACAGAAGGAAAACTTCTGTAAGGTAAAAGATTGTGTTGGATTAGAGATAAGACTAGCATGAGTTAAATAAGATGGCAATCAGAGGTAGGATCTTAAACACTAAGGAAAAAAGAGTTCTTTCTGAAAATAAAGGTAGGGTAGAAATTCCACCTGCTTTAAGATGGAGCTTGATAAATATGTGAAAGAAGTGGTTTGATATAGCAGTTAGGACAGCTTGTAAGGCTCAGGAGGACTTAAATTCCCTTCTGTCTTTATCAGTGGTGGAATAAACCCTGAGCAAGGTTTTGAACACTGACTAAAAGGAGGCATAAAGGACTTCAGTCAAAATGTCATTTCAGGTCTGAAGATTTGAGAATATAAGTGGTGTGTAGGGAGAAAGACTTGTGCGCCAAAAGTCGCTCTGAATTTTCAGTGGTATCAATCCAAAACTACTACCAACCCTGTGAGACTGTCCTTATTTATAAGGTAATCTAGGTAGATATGATCTCTCTCTGCTTATCACGTATGCGAGGAAAGGCAGATGATGTAAATTCAGTGTTCAAAGGCAAGAAGGCGATGTGCTTTATAATTATCTGATCTAACTTCTGTTATGGTTAACGCTTGTTTGAATGAAAAAGAAACCAAATTTTATAGAGATGTCCTGTGACGAGGAGTGAGCACCAAGCTTGGATAAGTTGTTCCAGTGGTTGGTTATCAGCCATGTGTAAAATTACCCCTGTGTAAAATATTTCTGCTCTGATTTATATAACTTCTACAGCCAGTGGCTCTCATTACACTCCTGCACTAAGCTTAATTGCTCACTGTTGCAATTTTCCTCTTCTCCATGGAGATGCATTTTATCCAGGATATCCCTTTCGTAGATTTTGGAGGGCTCTTTGACTGCTTCTTTGAAAGACCTGTCCTCCAGGGCTTTAATTCTCTAGTGATCCTTCTCTGAGCCACCTCTGATTTTCTACCTTCTGTACTGCATTGCCCAATCCAGAGCTAGGTATTGTCTTGCTTGCACCAACAGCCACTTCAGTCCTGTGTGTAAGCAGAACAGATTCTTCTGTCATTAGGTCGGACAGGGTGCTGGGCCAGCTTGTCTAGACCATGCTTGTGACAAGAAAGTTTGGACCAGATGATCCTTGAGGTGCCTTGCGACCCAGTATTCTGTGATTTTATGATGATTCAATGACGTAAGCCTCAAAGAAGTGGGTTTGACACTGCGGCCATGGCGTTGTAGCCATGGTGCCCATTTACGTTATGTCAGTGTCCGTTGGGAGCTGCTTCACAGGATGGACTTGGGTTTCCAGATGTTGTGGTAATAGCTGGAATACAGGAAAACAGAACGAGTAATTAGCAGTGTATTGAGCCAATTGAGTTCAACTCTTCTGGTTCAGGAAGGGTAGATTTTTGCTGGTGACCGTTTGGATGACTGTGTCTGTGGGCTCCACCATCTTCATCTGTGACTCAGTAGCGGGAAACCACGCTGTCCGTGACCATGGCAGCAGCGATGCTTGGTGATGTGTTCACCTAATCAAAGCTTCCTCCTCTCACGGGTGTGCTCTAATAACAAGACTATAGGCTTGTTCGGGTGGAGCTGCTCTCCACCCTCCTGATGAAACTGCCACTGAGCAGAAAGGAATGCAGGTTTCATTAGGCTGGAGAAGGGTGAAAGTGGGAGCATGACTCAGTCAGCACCCTTCCCCTTAGGTCTTCCAGGGGCTGTTTGATACAAAATGCACGTGCCTCCATGTAGGGGAGTATCAGAGAAACCCAGAATCCCAGCGCTAACTCAGTTAATCTGTAAAGAGCTCTTACCCCTTTCTTGTCATGCCTGTGCTTCATTTTGGCGATTTGCACACCCAGCCTGAAAATGTGAGTTGGAAATTTGAACATCTCCAAGGAGGGAAGGAAATCGTATTGACATTTCCCAGTCTCTGGCTTAAGCATGCTAACTTTCAAGCTAAAAAGCAGGTGCATTTCTGCAGATAGGAGGAAATCCTCCACTGCCACTGTGTTTTTAGGAAAACAAGTGAGCTCTGCTCAGATAAAAAGGGAGTTCAGGGACATGGATTCTACATTTGCAGGTACCTCTTCTAGCCAAACGGTTGTGGACAATCCCTTCAGGCCTCACCTCTCCAGCTGTGTTTGGTCAGCCATGGGAATGTAAATCTTCCCAAACATTTGCAGAAGACATGCAAGATGTCCAACACATGGTTCTGGATGGCACTGGAGAGGAATGGATATCCACAAGTCAGTCATTGCAGGAGTCCTTCAACCTATTTTTGTTCTACCATAGGCTTGAGAACTGCATAGGATGTGTAGCATTTGGCATGATCCCTGGCCCTGTTATGGTCTGAACCCAGTAGATATGTCCTAGGCATACCTTTGCATTACGACCCGTAAGTGCATGCACTAGCATGTGAGAGGATCTTGTAACCATGTGATTTTCCATTTGAAAATTAGAAGATTTA